TTAAGACAAGAACTACAAATCTCTATCACACAGTGTTAAGACAAGATTAGTTTAATTACAATGTTCCTAATACTTTCATTGAAAGGGAGGTTATTTACATTAATAATATTTTAACTTATATGGATATTTATGAGCAACCTATAATATACATCATTATATGCTCAAAACTCTTTTCTGAGAGGTTGCTGTCTGGAGGAGGAGGCTTTTGGATTGGATTAGTTCTGGGCGTGAATTTTAGGGTTTTGTTATAGAACATTCCAGTTCGAAAAACCAATTCCTGTGGCTTATCCATTACTTTGTAACAAACTAGTATGTATTGTAACAAAGTACATTACTTTGTTTTTATTGGCTTAAAAACAAAAACCATTGTATTGATTTGGAATTCTGTCAGTCAGGAATTGGGGCAGGACTTGGCTGGGTGGTTTTCTGTTCCAGGTAGCATGGGGCAGGGGCTGCATGTAGCCAGTGACCGGCTAGGCTGGGAGATCCCAGAAGACTTCACTCATACGTCTGACACTTCAGTCCTCTGTGTCGCCTCCCTAGTACACATGGCGCGACTGGGCTTCCTCACAGCATGGTTGTCTCAAGGGAGTTGGACTTCTTGCCGCTGGCTTTCAGGACAGCACATTTGAGGAAAAGCAAAAGCTGCAAAGACACTGCTTGGAAGTTAGACAACACCATTGACTCAGCATTCTGTGGCTCCAAGCCGGCCACAAGACGACGGCTGATTCAAGGGGCAGGAAAAGGACTGCATCTTCCAATGGGAAGACGGGAAAGAACGTACGTCCACTTTAAATCCACCACAGGCTTCTTTTGCACGTCATGATTCTGTGAGATGCATCTGTGTTGTTGCCTGTAGCATGAATTCATTCTTTCTTATTCCTGTATAGGATTCCATGGTATGACTACCACAATTTGCTATTGATTCTCCCACTGACGGACATTTGGTCATTGTAATTTGGGGCTATTATAAAGAAAGCTTAACGAAGATACTTGCCTGTATCTTTTGGTGAACACATGTACTAATTTCTCTTGGGAATGTATCAAAGGGTAGAATTGCTGAGTTGTAATTAGCAGACAGTTAGCATTTCCTCCAATTTTCCAAAACATTTCTGCCAGTTTACACTCCCATCAGCAATGTAGAAGAGACTGAGTTTATCCATGTTTTTGCCAAGCCTCAATATTGTCATTTTTTTTGAAGATTTTATTTATTTATTTGACAGCCAGAGATCACAAGTAGGTAGAGAGGCGGGCAGAGAGAGAGAGAGAGAGAGAGGAGGAAGCAGGCTCCCTGCAGAGCAGAGAGCCCGATGAGGGACTCAATCACAGGACCCTGAGATCATGACCTGAGCCGAAGGCAGAGGCTTAACCCACTGAGCTACCCAGGTGCCCTATATTGTCATTTTAACTTTGGCCATCCCAGTGGATGTATTGTAGCATCTCCTTGTGCTTTTTAATTTGTGTTTTTCTGGTGAATCATAATGTTGAGCAGCTTTTCATGTATTCATTGATCTTTTAACTATCCTCTTTGTGAAATAGTGCCTATTTTTTTTTTTATTTGTAGTGGATATAAGTCTTTTGTTGAGTTTATCCATTGTAAATACCTTTTCTCAGTCTTTGGGTTGCCTTAACAATGTCTTTTGATGAACTAAAGTTCTTCATTTTAATGAAGTCCAATGTAACAATCTTTTCTTTCATGAATAGTGCTTTTAGGACTGTGCTTTTCAGGAAATCTGCCCTGTCTCAAGTCAGAGAGATACTTTCTGATTCTTTTTCTAGAAGCTCTATAGCTTTACTTAGTACATGTGGGGTTGTGATCCATTTCAAATTAATTTTTGTATTGCCCAATATAACAAAAGACTTGCATTCAATTTGCTGATATTTTGTTTGGAGTTTTTACATCTGCTTCTGAAACAGAATGGACTTTTTTACTTTATTTCAAATATCCTTGCCATGATTTGATGTCAAGGTTATGCTAGCCTTATAAGATGTTCTGGTAAATGCACTCACTTTTCCCATTCTTTAGAAGTCTGTGTATGATGGGTAATATTTCTTTCTTAAACATCTGGTAGAATTTACTATGTTTAACTCATATGAAATTGGGGTTTTCTTAGTGAGGTTATTTTATACATAGAATATACTTCTTTTTTTTTTTTTAAGATTTTATATATTTGTCAGAGAGAGAGGGAGAGAGAGCGAGCACAGGCAGACAGAATGGCAGGCAGAGGCAGAGGGAGAAGCAGGCTCCCCGCCGAGCAAGGAGCCCAATGTGGGACTCGATCCCAGGACGCTGGGATCATGACCTGAGCCGAAGGCAGCTGCTTAACCAACTGAGCCACCCAGGAGTCCCTAGAATATACTTCTTAAATAAATTGTTCAGATTTTCTATTTCTTCTATATACCTTTCAGTAACTTGTATTTTTCTAGGAATTTGTCCATCACATCAACATTTCAAATTTCTCGGCCTAGAGTTACTGGCTCTATTACAGAATTGAGTAATGATCAGTGTTGGTTTCTGTGTCTGTTACTTATGTGGAACCTTGGGTATAGCAGCTTCTTGTGCATAAGAGCAGAGCTGGGGTCCTTGCTAGGATTTAGGTCCACCTTTATTAGGTTTGGAGAGTTAAACATATTTCTTTCTGATATACACATTCTTTCTTTAGACATGTTAATACATTCAGTCAAGGTGTTCAGTAAAATACTGGCCCAGACTCCTCAGTCCCTTTAAAGATTTATTATCTCTGCCCTAATTTTATTTCTGTTTCCTCTTCTTGGAGTTACCTCGATATTGCTCCACCATACCACCTCTATGTAGCTCAACAGTTTTCCAGAAATTTACCTACAGGGCGCCCGGGTGCCTCAGATGGTTACCATCTACCTTCGGCTCAGGTCATGATCTTGGGGTCCTGGAATGGAGCCCCCTACTCGTTGGGGGGGGGGTCTGCTTCTCCCTCTCTCTCTGCCCTCCCCCTCATGCTCTTGCTCTGGCTCTGGCTCTCTCAAATGGATAAATAAAATAAAAAAAAAAAGAAAAGAAATATACCCACATTCAAGCTCACCTGCGCCATAAGGCAGAAACCAGTTCACTGAGCACTTCCACCATTGATAATTTCCATTAGACCAAAAAGAAAAAAAAAAATCTGTGCCAATCTGATAAGCAAAAATGGCACCTGAGTCAGAGGTTTTAAGAACTGCATACTAAAGCTTTTCTGCTAAAACCCTCCTTTAAGTCTTATAGTCTAAGAAAACATTTTCTTCCAAAGGGCTGACTTTGCTCAAAACCCTCCATTTTCTGTGAAGGAATGGCTGGAAAAATCTGTGATTCAATTTCTGTGAAATCACATGTCCAAAGTCTCAAATCAAGGTATGTCATGTTTCAACCATTTTGCATATACATGAAAATCTTACAAAGTCATTCATCCACTCAACAAATATTTATCAATCACTTCCTGTTAGCTAAGTACTATTCCAGGTCCTGGATATATCAGCAATAAACAAAAAGATAAAGATTCCTGATCTCGTATTTTAGTTCAATACATTAACTCTTCAGCTGTGCATTCAGTACTGTCCCTTCCTGTTCTAATATTTCAACATCTGAAATCACGAGAGATCTAGAAAATAAAAGGTTTATCACCAAGCTGTTCTTAGGGCAATCCTCATGCTGTAAGGATAGGGAAGGTTTTTCAGAGTCTGAAGTTGCACAGAGCCACGCCTGGCAAATGACATGGGTGACATAAATGGACAGGACATTTGTCTAGTGCCATGCTAAAATAATGAGACGGACTTCTCCAGGGGACTGGGGGTTCTCCTGAAGACTGGGACTCTTTACCTCTCATTTCCCAATTGCTCGCACAGTGCCTGGCATGCAGTGGGTGCTTAATTAACTTGGGGAAATAAATGAATCGACAAGTAAATGAGTGAGTGAATAGAGAGCCAGTTCCTCTCTATTCTTCTCTAGTCTCGTGACTTTAAATACCATCTGGATAGAGAGGACTCTCGAGTGTATATCTCCAGTCCAGAATCCAACTGAGAATGCTGGACTCCAATGTCAATTTGTTTTTTCATCCTGCCTCGAAGTCTTAGCAGCATCTCTAACTTAGCAGGTCCAAAATCAAACTCCTGGTTCCTCCTCTACCCTACCCCCAAACGGTCCCACCCACAGCCTGCCCCTACTCAGACCTCACCCTCCCAATGCTCAGGGCAGAAACCTTGGGGTCACCCTTGCGTCTTTCTCCTACCGCCCTCCTCCTGTCCATCAAGATATCCTTACGGCTCTCCCTTCACAATCTGTATTTCCAGAATCTCTGTAATTCTCAAGTCTCTAGTGCTTTCACCTGGTTCAAGCTCCCATGGGATCTTGTCTGGATTATTTCACTGGTCTGACTTGCCTTCTGCCCTCGCCCCCATCAGCCTTCTCCCCGCAAGGGTCACACTGGTGTCTCAAACATAAGTCGTATCGTGTAATTCCTCCAACAGCTTCCAAGTAAAATCCTCGCCTAATACGAGTACGCAGTAGCGGATGCTTACAGAGGAGGAAACTGAGGCACGGGAAGCAGGAAACGGTGACTGCACCCAGGTCTACCTCAGCAGCCTTGCTCCCTCCTCCAGAACCCCATGCCCCTCCCGTGCCAGTGAGAGCCGGAATGGAGCGGACTCGGGGAGCCGCCGCCGTCCAGGCTGGGGCGGGCGGGCAGCCACCGCCTCCCCGGCAGCGTGCGGGGGAAGAGGGTGCCGCAACAAGCCGAGCGGGACCGAATCAGCTCCGCAGTCGGCGCGCCGCGTTTCTTCCCGAGGTCGGCTCCAGTTACCTGGACCGGGGAAAGGCATGAAGTCTGGGAGGGGGCTGCAGAGGTAGCGGAGCTTCCTTCCCGGAGCGAGCGGAGACGACCCCGCGTCCCCAGGCGTCCGGAACCCGAACCCGCGGCCTCGGTTTCCGCCCGGCGGGTTCCTGCCAGCGCTCCCGGAAGCTGCGCTCGCTGCCGGGATAACGGGCCCGGCGAGGGCGGCGGCGGCGGCGGCGCGGTTATGGACCTGGAGGAAGCGGTGAGCGAGCCGGGAGCCGGCGGGCCGGACGGCGGGGCGGGAGGGGAGTGAGACGGAGGGAAGAGGCTGGAGGACGCCGACTGACTGTGGGGGTGGCCGCTGGCCGGAGGAGGGCGGGCGGAAGGCCGCGGGGCGGGGAAAGGGATGGGGCTGGCGGGCCGGGCGTGCGCGCGTTTTGGGGCGCTGGGTGAGGTTGTGGGTGAAGGGAGGGCGGGGCGTTAGTCCGTGTGGGTGTGTTTCAGGAGGGGGATGGAGTTGTGGGTTTTATGGGGTGGCCACCCACGAGGCCCATCCCCTGTGGACCGGGCCACCCACAAGTTCCCTTTGATCCCGGGGTGGGCGTGGGAGGGCCGGGCTGGAACGGGCTGGCCTCTGAGTAAGTCCCCCCACCCCCGCCCGGTGTCTCTGCGGATCCTCGCCGCGGTCTGGGGACGGATTCCAAATTCGGGTTTTACTCACTCCAGGTAATGCTCCGGAGTCACTGCAAACTTTCCCGACTCGCTGAAATAGATTCGGCGTTCAGTTTTGACGTACATGAAATGCTGCGTTCTTTGGCCGTATTCGGCAGTTAGATCGGCGATGAGGTCAAGGACCGGGGAGTTCGGGACCAGTTGTTGAGGGCCGGTCTTTGTGCGCACAGACGCATTGCGGTGATAGAAGGCCTAGCTTGTTACAAACGTTCAGTAAATGTTTATGGAGCGACGGATGACGGACGTCTGTACGTTCTGGGTCAATGACATTAGTAGTTACGTCTCACCACTGACCTGTATTCGCTGCAGTAGGGATCGTGTCTCTTTTGCTCACCACTGAATCCCTGGCACCCAGCTAAATGCCTAGTGCATACATAGGCGATTTTCCTTCTATTGCTGAATGAATAAATTGAAACTTGGAACAACCCCAAAAAGCCGGTTCTTTTGTGGTATGTGCTTTTAGTGTCATTGCGAAAGTTCCAGATGGTATGCAATTTTTATTTTTAGAGTCTTCTCTTTACTTAAATCCCGTCCTCTTTTTTTCCTCAGGGCACTCTCCAGGAGCTTTATTAACTCATCCTTTTTTTTTTTTTTTTTTCTTTTTTACCCCACCACCTTTTCTTTTTTTTTTTTTTTTTCTCCTCACAGCATATTTTAGAAATTTTTTAAATCATTTAATTCCATTTCAGACTATTCAGAAGACTGAGCTGTTCTTTTTGTTTATAGTTAGTCTCTCTGGTACATTTTTTATTTTCTGTGGGTTTTTTGTTTGTTTTTTATCTGTAGGGTAAAATTGCAGGGAACACTTTAGGTAGAACTGTAGGGTTTAGGTGCAATGTATTGGATATGGTTTAATGGTAACACCTTTCCTGTCTTCTCCTATAGAAAGAGTTCAAAGAAAGGTGCACTCAGTGTGCTGCTGTCTCTTGGGGTCTTACTGATGAAGGCAAATATTATTGTACTTCTTGCCACAACGTTACAGAAGTAAGTAACATATGTCATTTATGAATCTGCTAAGGTTTTTAAAATTATGGTTTTAGCCTGATATGTGGCATAGTTCCCAGATAATATGTTTTTGTCACTCCTGCAGTGCCCAAATTCCAAGAATAAAAGTAGTCTTCCAGGTGCTTACACGTGAGCTAAGTAATGAGTAAATTAGATTTAGGATGGGTTTTTGAAATGATGTTGGCCCTCATTTGTAAATAATTTCATGATTCAGACTGTGTAGTAAGAGGGAAAATAATTAAAGTTATACTTTGAAGGTGAGACAGTTTTTTTATTAGTTAATACTCATGGAAGAGTTTTTAATATATTGGTAGCTTAAAGGTTTGGAACATGGAATGTTAGAAAGATTGAGGACTTTTGGGAGTATTGGAAATAAACTTCATTGTCATTTTATCTTTGTATAGTACCTTAGAGACTACAAAGTGTTTTCTTATCCATTATTTCATTTTCTCCTCACAGCCACCTGTGAGATATACTATTGCGCCTGTCCACCGATGGGGAAAGTAGGGCTCATGATGAGTGAGCTTGCCAAAGTCACACAAGTATAAAGTGTTAAGCCAGGACGTGAACCTGAGTCTTCCGACTACAGTGGTCATTTTACTCCATCACACCTCCCTCTTGCACTAGAGATTGTCATACTGTCTTGCATGTAACCTTGGTAGATAGGCCCCCTTCACACTGAGAGTGCTAGGTCCTGTTCCAGTTACCACACGTTCCGGGCAGTATAACCAAAATAATCGAGGGTTGTGGACAGTCTGCTGCTGGACAGGCTGAACATGCCAGGACTCCTCTCTGGAAAAAGATTGGCTCCAGTCTGTAGGGCCTGGAAGGAACAAGCATTACATTAACCATACAGACTTAAGAAAGGCAAATTTGGGGAGGGAAAGTAACTCTGTAGACTTATGCTTTTGGTCAAGGTGGAGTAACAGGAACCAGATTTATCTTCCTACCTTAAACAACCAAAAACTTGAGCAAAATATATAAAACAACTAAAGAAAATTTTCCTTGAGGAAAAGTGGCTAATTTACGTTGTTGATCACACAGAGCTTCTCTTGAAACAATCGTTGTTCTTCAGTATCCAGCTTCAGTCCTTATGCCTGCTTCCCACTTAAGTCACACAGAATATTTAAAAAATGCTAGCTCAATGACATTTTGTGGGTGGTGGATATTTCATTATCTTGATGTGATGGTTTCATAAGGATGTAGGTATGTGTAGGTACACACACATGCATATGTATACACATGACCTTGTACACTTTATTTTTTATTTTTTTTAAAGATTTTATTTATTTATTTGACAGAGAGAGAGACCACAAGTAGGCAGAGAGGCAGGCAGAGAGAGAGGAAGGGAAGCAGGCTCCCTGCTGAGCAGAGAGCCCAATGCGGGGCTCGATCCCAGGACCCTGGGATCACGACCCGAGCCAAAGGCAGAGGCTTTAACCCACGGAGCCACCCAGGTGCCCCAAATAAATCTTGAAAAAAAAAAGAAAGAATGCTACATTCTTGACAAGTTACTCTAGATAGGCTGTCTTTCAAATGTGGAACTAGTTAGTGTAGTGGTATTAGGATCTTGTAAGTTAAAATGACTGCAGTAGATTTTATCAGAATCAAACAGGAACATTATCAAAGACAGAAATAAAAGAGGCAATTAGTTAATGCAGTTCAATTTCCACAAAAATAGCATGCTGACTTCACGTACTAATGGCAAATAGTCCAATTAGACACAACCATCCCTTGTTGTGTTTATGTTTGCACTGCTGCTACAGAAACAATCCTGGGAAAGACTGCTAGTGCCTCCCTTGCATCAAAGCAGAGAAGGCCAAACTGCACATGTTTAAAGTGTACATGCTGGGGCGTCTGGGTGGCTCAGTCGGTTGAGGGTCTGATTCTTGATTTCAGCTCATGTCATGATCTCAGGGTCATGGGATGGAGCTACAAGTCAGGCTCCATGCTCAGCGAGGAGTCCGCTTGAGATTTTCTCCCTCTGCCCCACCCCCCACTCATGGCTTACACACCTTCTCTCCCTAAAATAAACAAATAAATCTTAAAATAATAAATAAAGTATAGGGGCACCTGGGTGGCTCAGTCAGTTAAACATCTGTCTTCGGCTTAGGTCATGGTTCCAGGGTCCTGGGATCCAGCATCAGGATCCCTACTCGGCAGGGAGTCTGCCTCTGCCTCTCCCGCTGCACCCCCACCACGCACTCTTTCTCTCTTGCATGTGTGCGTGCTCTCTCTCAAGCAAATAAAATCTTTAAAAAAAATTAAAAATAGGGGCACCCGGGTGGCTCAATGGGTTAAGCCCCTGCCTTCGGCTCAGGTCATGATCTCAGGGTCCTGGGATCCAGCCCTGCTTTGGGCTCTCTGCTCAGCGGGGAGCCTGCTTCCCCCTCTCTCTCTGTCTGCCTCTCTGCCTACTTGTGATCTCTGTCAAATAAATAAATAAAATCTTTAAAAAAAAGATTTATTTATTCATGTTAGAGAGAGAGACTGTGAGCAGGGACAGGGGCATAGGGAGTGTATCTCCAGCAGACTCTGAGCTGAGCATGGAGCGCGACGTGGGGCTCAGTCTCACGACCCCGAGATCATGACCTGAGCTGAAACCAAGACTCCAACACTTAACCAACTACACCACCCACGTGCCCCAAGGATGTAGCATTCTTAAAGCTGGGCAGAATCTCTATATAGGCCAAGAACCTAACTCAGGGCCTTCCGTATAACTCAGGGCCTTCCGTATGATAGGCAGAGCTATGATGGTACAACTCCAGTGGTTATTGGCTTTGTGGTACCCCAGGCATGTTCTTTGTATAGCATGTGACGTGATCTGTGCTGCCTGGAGTGGGGTGCTGTGTGCTGGCCATGTTGATATCTAGTGGGTGGAGGATGGCCAATGAGACGTAGTTCTAGCTATGTAGAGTAGAGTTCATGGTGCAGCTTTCTGTTGTTTTGTACCCTTATTGCCCTCCAGGTCTTACCTTGTTTGTAATTCTCAGGCTGTGGATACTTGCTATAATCTGGAAAAAGGCCTTCTGAATTAGTAAAAGAATAAGAATGTTACATTGGTGTATTTTAAAGATTTTTTTTTTTTTTATTTATTTGACAGACAGAGATCACAAGTAGATGGAGAGGCAGGCAGAGAGAGAGAGAGAGGGAAGCAGGCTCCCCGCTGAGCAGAGAGCCCGACGCGGGACTCGATCCCAGGACCCTGAGATCATGACCTGAGCCGAAGGCAGCGGCTTAACCCACTGAGCCACCCAGGCGCCCCCATTGGTGTATTTTAAATAGGAAAACATTTTTCAGGTCTTAAATCTAGCCAATTTAGACAATGGATGTTCTTATAAATATTTCATAAAGGTGTAGGCTAGAATTGTGTGAGTTCAATAGATTTTTATGACTATAACATTAGATTTATTGTAGAAAATTTAGAAATTAAAAAAATAAATAAAATGAAATAATTGCATATGCTTTCAGAACAATGTATATGTCTGTGTCTATAATATCTGTAGAAATTGTTCATAACAACTTGTTTTAGGCTTTTAATAATGTTTATTGATACCTGAAGAAATCTGTCCATAAAAATAAAACTTATCTACTATTTGGAAAAAAAAAAAAAAGAAAATTTAGAAATTATGAAGATGAAAGCTAAAATCACCAGTAATCTTGGGGCACCTGGGTGGCTCAGTTAAGCATCTGCCTTCAGTTCAGGTCATGAGCCCAGGGTCCTGGGATCAAGTCCCATGTGCAGCTCCCTGCTCAGCGGGGAGTCTCCTTGTCCCTCTCCCTCTGCCGCTCCCCCTGCTTGTGTTTTCTCTCTCTGTCAAATAAATAAAATCTTTTAAAAAAATAATAAAAATAAAATTACCAGTAATCTCAGTAGTCAACATTTTAATTGCTTCTTTTAGGCTAGTTTTTTTCTATATATGGAAGGGAAAGGGGATGTGGGTGAGCACTTTTGAATCTTCTATCTTAATTAAATATTTTCCTGTGTTATTCTAAACATTTGTGTACCATCTTATTGCCTATATAAATATCCCAGAATATAACCATTCAGTAATTTAATTATAGATCCAGTTTTAGATATTTAGTTTTTTCTAGCTTTTAGTTATTTCACATTTTATTTAGTCCAGATTTTAAGCCTTTTTATCCCTGCCTACTCTTAATACATTGTACCCATCTTTGTAGGGTAACTGCTTTGGTATGTATTGTTGTGTCTTCCGTTTTCAGTGTGGCCAACCCAGTCCATCAGAATGGCTTCGAATGTGGTTTCTGTGACTAGAGGAAATACATTCCCCAAATCCTCTTGTTAAAGATGTTTCTTTTACTCTTAATGAATGCTGAAGATAAACTTCATTCCAATCTCTTAAGCTGAGAGAAATACACAAATCTTGCCTGTTTTTTTTTTTTAAGAAGTATTCTTTTTTTTTTTTTAAGAATTTATTTATTTATTTGACAGACAGAGATCACAAGTAGGCAGAGAGGCAGGCAGAGAGAGAGGTGGAGGCAGGCTCTCTGCTGAGCAGAGAGCCCCATGCGGGGCTCGATCCCAGGATCCTGGGATCATGACCTGAGCTGAAGGCAGAGGCTTAACCCACTGAGCCACCCAGGTGCCCCAAATCTTGCCTGTTTTTAAAAAATCTTCACCTCTCCTCCCTTATTAGGATTTAATTCCTTTATTCCGGTTGTGAGAGAGGCAGAATACGAGGTACCAGCCCTTGAGAGCACTTGGAGTTGAAGACCGTGGGATGAATTATACTCACCATTTAGTCATCCTAAAGTTGTGTAGGTTTGATTAAAAATAAAAAGTAGTACTTTCATAATTTCAGAAATGAAAACTGTATTATTAAAATATATAGAAAAGCAGGATGAAACGAATCTGTATGTAGCATAGTCATTGCTGGTTATAATAAATACAGTTCTCTTAATTCTGGAGTGTGTTTGGATGGAGGAAAGAGGGAACAAATTTGATTTTAACATTAGGTTTTGTTTGAAAAAATTAGAAAGTGACTTAAAATAAAACTTTATTCATTTGCCAGACTTTTCTTTAGTGTTTACTGTGTTCCAGGTACTGTTTTGATTAGTGAAAAATTTTGAATGAAAAAGCAATGTAAAGATTAACCAAAATGTTACAGTTGATATAGTTTCCCAAAATGTTACTGTTCTTTTTTTTTTTTTAAGATTTTATTTATTTATTTGATAGACAGAGATCACAAGTAGGGAGAGAGGCAGGCAGAGAGAGAGAGAGAGGAGGAAGCAGGCTCCCTGCTGAGCAGAGAGCCCGATTCGGGACTCGATCCCAGGACCCTGAGATCATGACCTGAGCCCAAGGCAGAGGCTTAACCCACTGAGCCACCCAGGCGCCCCAAATGTTACTGTTCTTAATCCTGGCACTCACAGTTCATTATACTTCCCAGAGCCTGCTTGGAAATATATTTAGGCAGATGTAAAACTACCTTTTTAATGGTCTGTCTGTCTCCTGCAGAGATCTAAGGAAGTCATAAACACTGGGGCTATTCCTAATACTAAAATACAAGCCATCAACCGGGGACTTAAAAGAAAAAGAAAACTCGGTAAGCCCTTTCTTCATTGTGCTTAGGGATGTGCAATGGGATTTTAAATAGATTCTTGAGAAGTTGCCAGATTTGTAAATCGGTCATCCAGAGTGGAATGAAAGTGGGTAATTGTTGATTGTAAAATTGGAAGTAAGTGTCTTTAAGCATATCCTGTTTTCATCCTGCTTACAGTTGCAAATTGCTTTTCAAGTGGAGCAACTGTTATGCAAAAAACAATGGAGTGTATATCTGTTGGCACGTTTCTGTTCTTGTGATCTATTCAGAATATGATTTTTCTGTGCTTTTAAAGAAAAATGCTTACTTTCTGAAATGATTCAAGTATGGAATTGTCAGTTTAGCAAGTTTAACGTGATGTTCAACTTTTAGAAACCCATTTCTCACACTCAATTTTGAACACACCCTTTTAAAATAGGAAAATTATTTTCCTTAAAATAATCTTAGCAGGGGTGTGCTCTGAAAGGTAATCTACTTCATTAATCCAGTGAGTACATATAATTAGTCATGATTGAGAATAATCTGAGGTAAAGTCTAACTGATGCTTTTTATTTCTGTGACTACGTAGGGCCAGGTTCTCCAGTTCGAAAAAGGCTAATGATAGGGGGGATTCTTGTAGCTGAGGAAGCTTTGAGGATGCACACACATGAAATACAGATTTATCAGTGTTTGTGAAATATCTCTATGAAATACATTGTTATTCTTAGATGAATAACAGACAGAAAGCCTAAATGCTAACTTTTGTTTCTGTTTAACCTTTAATAGTGACTATTTTTGTTAGGCTAGAAACTGGTTACTTTTTAATTACATTTTATTAGAGTAGAACTTTATTAATTTGGATGTGACTTAAGTAACTAAAATGTAGAGTTTCAACTTAAATTGCTGCAGGAAATCTAGGTGCTTCAAAGTAGCTGTTAAGTGCCTTACATTCAACTTCTTTGACACAGCATAGTTTCTAAGTCTGTAAAATGAGAATGTTAATACCATTTGCTATGGAAAATAGAAACTCTGAATTTAGAATATGCCTCACCAGTTGCAAGAGCGGGTTCTGGAAGAAGAGTGCACACAGGTACAGTGTGAAGAGTTTTGCTCAACTTCAGAATGCGTCAGAAGTAGAGGCTTTCTCTTTTACTCATCTATGACCCAAGAAACTGAGGTCGTGCGCGGGGAGAGAAGTAGGAGCCCCGTGCAGGGGAGGGCGATCTTGGAGTCCTAGTGACAGACTTCATAGGCTAAGTGTAAAAGGTGCAGATTTTGTGTTTTGCAGAGTCGTAGTATTTATCCAGAAGGGAGGAGTAAAACATTAGGCTCTTAACAGATTCTAATATTTTCTTTACCTTGTAGTTCTCTTTAAACAAGTAGCTCTGGCTGTGGTGGTGGCACATTTCTTCACGGTCTCTTAGGGTTACTCTGAGGATTAAAGAAAATAACCTATTTAAAATACCTACTGCGTACCTGATGCCCAGGCAGAGCTCGTAAGCGTTAGTCTCCTTGCTTCCGGTGTCTCCCTGTAGCCTAGAACTATTTCCAGAAAAGCAGAGTGCCGTTGAGCAGTTTACCTTCTCTGAGTGTTCTCACTGCCCTTTCCTACACTCCTGGACCATCAGATCTTGGCTTTTGTTCATTCATTCTCCAAATACTCATTGTTGCCATTCTTTGTGAGCTGGAACAGAGGAGGGGGAAGCAGAGGCTGAGTATTGAGTGTTCTTTCCCTTAGGATTCTGTGGGGTATTGCCCAGTACAATACATTTCATTGTCCAGTACATACTCTTAAAACTTACTTCATTTTTTAACTTGGTGACTATTCATTTTTCTGCCTTTTATGTTAATATTTCAGAAAAATTATAGATAATTTAAAATATTTAAAATCTGAAAAATTATAAAAATGGGGTTTAGCTTTAGCATTTGTGTCCATATTTGCTGGATTGGAAACAGAAGATTATAAGGATGGAAATCCTATTCAGGAATATAAAATACTTCGAGCTGCATTGTGTAAAACACAGTTGTAACTCTGTAGTAGCATGTACTAAGTAGGAGTACAAGTGTCTGAACCATGTTATCTGTCCTCTAGAGAAAGGCTGGGATTGGTATGTGTGTGAAGGTTTTCAGCAGATACTTTATCAACAAGCAGAAGCCTTAAAGACCCTTGGAGTAGGCCCAGAATTAAAGGTAAGTCTATTGTGTCTGGATGCAGTCTTACGTTTTGTTTGAAGAACAGTAAGATTTAGAGTGAAACTAAGGAGAAAATTAGGATTATCAGTAATGATACTAGGACTCCTGGGGAATCATCTTTTCTGATATTTTTGCTTTACTCCTTTCATTAGGTTGATAATTCTCAGAGTGTGTTCTACAGGGTATTAATAAGCAAAGAACCAAAAGAAAATAAAAAAGGTTTTAATTTTCAGATAATTAGGAAACATTAAGTTAAATAAAGTAAAAAAAGTAAAAGATAACTTTGCAGACATTTTGGTGTCTTTTATTGTTAATGTGCTTGTTTGATTTCCAAGGGAATGTAGTATCCAGTATTTACAACTTGAGAACAAAGTCCTTTAGTGTGGTATATACGTGCGTGCATGGCATTGATCAGGATTTTGAGTTCCAGAATGTGCTTTGGGGAGTGATAGATTAGGCCAGTGGTTCTCAATCTTGAATGTATACCAGAATCACCTAAACACAAGTTACTGAACCTCATTCTGGATTTTCCGATTCAGTAGGTCATTTCTAACAAGTTCCCAGGTGACACTGATGCTGCTGGTCCAGGGACCACACTTGGACTTTGCTGCCCCTCCAGAGTACCACAGTATCCCTACTGCTGCGTGAACTTCATGTTTCTTCATCTGCTTGAAGCCATTTCAAGAACTGTTTAGAAAGCCAGTTGGTTCTCGTATACTAGCTTTGTACCCATTATTGGAAAACGGGTGTGAAGAGAGCCAGCCTAGTTGGAGAGAGGGTTTTACACATGTGTGGAATGAGTAAACATGAAATGATAGGACAGTGTGCTTATACGTGACATTAAGGGCAAAAAGAGAAGGTAGAAAGATCAATGTGGATTGAAGTCACCAAGGAAAGATTTGTAAAGGAGCCTTTGTTGTTCAAACCAGTGTTTGGGGCAAGCCAGCAAGAATGCCCTCTAGAATGATGCATGGCCCAGGAGGACTCTGGGCCTACCCTGAGAGGTATTATAGGATTTAAAAATACAAAAACATGAGTGGGGCACCTGGGTGTCTCAGTTGGTTAAAAATTCAAAAATGTGAGAGACCAGTTGGCACCCACAGTGGTGATCTGGTGGTCTGTGAAATCTGGGGGTTTCTTTCAAGTTATCCTATGTTATAAATGCTTTGTAATTTATAGTTTCATATAGTTATACCAACCAACTAGAGTAGGGTTTACTCCTTTATGGTTTTCTACCCACTTCATCAGGGTTAATCCCGAAAACAGTTCTGTCTAAAATTAGCCAATGAACATAACTGTTTAGACCTGGCCATTTAAATGGCACAGGAATGGCATTATGCTAAGAACACAGGGTTTTCTATTTACTGGGTGGGTCATTTTGGCCAATTTACTCAGTTCTTCAGTGGTAGAATGGAGATGGTAGCTCTCTTGCAGTGTTGTGTTCGAACTAATGGATACCTCATACCTAGTAGGTGATAAATAAATAGAAAAGTTGTTTTGTTATCTTATTTTACTTCCACTTGGACCCCATAGCAGCTTTGCCTCTAATTAGAAGTGTGGTCATATAGGAGTTGCTTTCTTTCTCTCATTCTTAATATGACTAAACTTAAAAAAGGAAGGGATTCAACTAGGTGATCTGTTTGGCTCTTCTTTAAAAATCTAAGATTATGAAGAATTTATTCAGTGTTTCCCATATACCTGATTTTGCGATGATAATTCTTTTTAAGAAATGTAAGTAGGAAGGTAAGAAGACATTTAGATGGAGGGCAGTGTATAACGTGTGAGTGGTCTGGATGGACCAGTGTGCTTGCCATAATGACTACTCATTTCCCTTCTACCTTAGGATGAAGTTTTGCATAACTTTTGGAAGCGCTACCTGCAGAAGAGCAAGCAGGCCTATTGTAAGAACCCAGTTTATGCCAGGGGAAGGAAAGCTACGGTAAGTCACGAGTGAGAAGCGGGATGAAAAGCCATTTCTGGTGTGACGCAGAGATGAAGACCGGTCCAGTCTCATCTGGATTTATGATGTCAGAGAATTGTCAGGGAAGAGGTTTCTCTTGTAGTCCAGAAGGAAAGGGTCACTGAGCTAGACATTGGAATTAATTTTGACTTCTTATTTGACTAGTTGAAACAAATTTGTAGTTAACTTCTAAATAGAAGCTTAAGGACTTTCCATGAATTGTAGTATTAAAAATTTTTTTTGCACGTTTTTCCTTTTGCTTGGAATACCCACTTACCTGGTATTTCATGACGCAGCTCAGTTACCTCTGCTCAGCAGGCTTTATGTGAAGAAAAATAAGTCTGGATGCCTCACCACCCTCTCGCACCGCCCCCAGAGCATTTACATTATTAGTTTTCTTTTAACTACGTTACGGATGTGCCGTGGGACATTTCATTGGGGGTACGGGAAGATTCTGCCTCTGAGAAATGCATGTTTGATAAACTGCTATGTTTGATGTGTGGTACTTACTCTCCAGGGCTGAGAAGAGATTCCAAATCTATTTGACATATATACTTAAGAGCTTGGAGATGTGGCCCAGTGGATCCTTGTTTGGTTGGCGTCACCTGGGTTCCACATGCAGAGCTGAGTGATCCAGGCCTGAGAAGTCCGGGTCTGAGTGAAGGGAATAGGTCCCGAGAAGGAGAAGTTTAGAGCAGCAGAGCCATGTGAGAGAGAATGATGGAAGGGGCACTGACCTAAGCAATTCGTGTAGGAAACTTCCTTTTTGTACCTGGTACCATGCATTTAAATAAACTCCAGAGGAATAACTTGAACAGACAATTTTATAGTGATGAAGTTATGAAATACCATCCTCTCTTGATGCAGGAGGCGGGTGCTGCTCAGGAAAACAAAAGATGCCATGTGGGTCTTAAGTTGACCCTTCAAAAGAGAAAAGAAAAGAAAGAGCCATCCAGGCTGTTAAGAATCTGATTTTGGGGCACCTGGGCAGCTCAGTCGGTTAAGCATCTGCCTTCTGCTCAGGTCATGAGCCCAGCATCCTGGGACCGAGGCCCAGGTCAGCCTCCCCACTCAGCGGAGAGTCTGCTTCTCTGTCTGCCATTCCCCCCACTTGTGTATGTGTGTGTGTGCACACATGGGCGTGCACTCTCTCTCTCTGTCAGATAAATACATCTTTTTAAAAAATTTTTATTTCTTTTTTTATGAAGTATGGGTCATCTATTTTATTAGTGTTCTCCATTGGAATTAAAATAAAAATCCATTAAAATCCTAGAGGAGAACACAGGCAGCAACCTCTTCTACCTCTGCTGCAGCAACTTCTAGATAGACACATCTCCAAAGGCAAGGGAAAGAAAGGCAAAAATGAACTATTAGAACTTCAGCAAGATAAAAAGCTTTTGCACAGTCGACAAAACCAAAAGATAGCTGACAGAATGGGAGAAGAGTTTTGCAATTGTCTTATCAGATAAAGGGCTAGTATCCAAAATCTGTAAAGAACTTACCAAACTTAACATCCAAAGAAAATAATCCAATTGAGAAGTGGACAGAAGACATGAACAGACCTTTCTGCAAAGAAGGCATACAGTTGACCAACAAACTCATGAAAAAAATGCTCAACATCACGCCATCAGGGAAATACAAATCAAAACCACAGTGAGATACCACCTCACGCCAGCCAGAATGGCTAAAATCACTAAGTCAAGAAATGACAGATGTTGGTGAGGATGCAGAGAAAGGGGAGCCCTCTTACACTGTTGGTGAGAAGGCAAGCTGGTGCAGCCACTCTGGACAACAGTATGGACGTCCCTCAAAAAGTTGAAAATAGAGCTACCCTACCACCAGCAATCGCACTACTAAGGATTTACTGCAAAGATAAGAATGTAGTGATCCGAAGGGACACCTGCACCCTAATGTTTGTAGCCTCAGAGTGTCCACAATAGCCAAACGATGGAAAGAGCCCAGATGTCCATCAACAGATGAATGGATAAAGAAGATGTGGTTTATATATACAATAGAATATTATGCAGCCATCAAAAAATGAAATCTTGCCATTTTTAACAAAGTGGGTGGAACTAAAGGGTATTATGCTCAGTGAAATAAGCCAATCAGAGAAAGACAGTTACCGTATGATCTCATACATGGAATTTAAGAAACAAAACAGGATCATAGGGGAAGGGAGGGAAAAATAAAACAAGATGAAATCAGAGAGGGAGACAAGCCATTAGAGATTCTTAATCATAGGAAACAAACTGAAGGTTGCTGAAGAGGAAGGGGCGGGCGGGTGGATGGGGTAAGTGGGTGATGGACATTAAGGAGGACACGTGATATAATGAGCACTGGATATTATATAAGACTGATGAAATCACTGAACTCTACCTCTGTAACTACCAATACACTATATGTTAATTAATTGAATTTAAGTTAAAAAACGACTTAAAAAAAAAGAAACTTAGTCTTCTCAAATATTCAGTAATTCCTTCATGCTTCGAATGTGACTGAACCAAGAATAGTAAGAGGCCTTCATCTGAATCCTGGCTCCAGTGCTGTGACTTGTGTGATCTTGGGTGAGATAAATTACTTAAAACTCCCAGAAAAAATGAACAAGCGATTATTAAAAATCAGGGTAGGATAAGGGAGATGGAAAATGGGGTGGCAGGAAAGGGTGTTATTTGTGGTGTGATCAGGGAATCTTAGGTGAGAGCGAGCCATGGGGATATCTTGGGGAAGAAATGCAGAATTTCAGGTCTCCCCCAAACCTACTGATTTAGAATCTGCATTTTAACACAGTTCCTAGGTGGTTCCTGTGCACACTAAAGTTTGAGAAGCCCTCTTCCAGATAAGACATGGTGGTGGCTGGGGTAAGATGGTAGCAATGGAAGTGATAAGGGCTAGGATTCCAGATAAACTTTGGGTCGGGTCATCAGAATTTACTGATTGGTTGGATATAAGGTGTGAGAAAGAGAGGAGTCATCAAGGATGACTTAAGTTTGGGGCCTCATACACCAGGTGGGAAGGGAAGAGCTATAGTTTGATTTTTGACACGTTAAATTTGAGACAGCTGCTGGACATCTGAGAGGACATTCCAAGTACTTAGATTTCCAGGTCTTCAATTCAGGAGAGAGAACTGTGTTAGAGATAAAAATTTGGATGTTGTTAATGTACGTTATAATTTCTCACATCTCAAATGCCATTGTTTGGAAGATGCTCCATTATTTTAAATATCCCCAAGAATGAAAATAACGCTGCACATCAAACTGTGACATGCCATTGGTTATAAGATACACCCTGATGTCAAGGACACTAATATATGGGGGAGAGGCAGTGCATTTTAGAGTCAAAAACAACATAGTAGGTGGTGTTTAAAGTCAAAAGATCAGATGACGTCACTGAGGAATGAAGATAGAGAAGGGGACCAAGTTCTGAGCTCTGGGTCCCTCTGGGATGAAGATGTCTGGGATAAAAGCAGAAGTCTGAGGAGCAACTGGTAAGTTAGGAGGAAGCCTGGAGAGTGAGAGGGCGTTCTGGAATCCAAGGAACAAAGTGTTTCAAGAAGAGAGAAGTGATTAACCTTGAAATGCTGCCGCCTGGTCGGGAAGGAGAAGGGCTAAAAATGGATGAGCAGAGCAGTGGAGTCGCAAGTGTGATTAGAATGAGGCTTAAGATAGACCGAGAAGAGAGAAATTGGGGACAGCGAGTCTGGATAACTCTTCCAAGGCATTTTGCTGCAAAGAAATACAGAGAAATTATATTGTAGCTGGAGTCAAGGAAAGTTTTTTTTTTTTTCTTTTAAGTGGGATAAATAATAGCATATTTGTGTACTGATAGAAATAATACGAGAGAAGAAATTCTCAATGGGGAGAGGGAAAATAGAAATGAGGGATAAGCTTTGAGTAGAAAGGGTGCGATTGGGTGCCCAGAGGGGGAAACTGGCTTTTTTTTTTTTTTTTAAGATTTTATTTATTTATTAGTGCACATGAGTGGTGGGGAGGAGCAGTGGGAGAGGGAGACATGGGCTCTCAACTGAGCAGGGAGCCCCATGTGGGGCTTGATCCCAGGATTCTGGGATCATGACCTGAGCCGAAGGCAGACGCTTAACCAACTGAGCCACCCAGGCACCCTGAAACTGGCTTTTTAGATGGCAGCTTGGATAGTCCACCAGAAGAATCAGAGAGTAGATTATGTGGTCAGGTTCCTGGCAGTTGGTTGCTTGCCTAAGCTTGTGGACATTTTCTTCTACAGTTGCTTCAGATTTCTCAAAGATGACACAAGTATTTCATCCCTGATTTTTTTTTTTTTAATTTATTCTCTTGTGAGTTTCCTTAACATGAATTTTACCTCCTCTTGATAAGATTGAGTTTCCCGGTCTGCATGGCTGATAATGTGGCTTTTTAACTGTGACCAGTTTCCCCAAGGTTATGTCAGCTAATGAGGCCTTTAGGTAGCCAGCCAGCCGACCTTTCTTAGGAACACTCTGACCACCATTTCAACAATACACGTGTGAAAAATTAAACAATGGTATCAGTGTGTTTGTCAATTAAATGTTATATAAATAGTAAAGTACCACAGGAGTTCAGGGAATTGAGAAGTCATTGAAGAAGAGTTGGTTGGAAAGACTGCATGATACAGTAAATAATGGATTGGAGAGAAAGAGAAGAAAGGATAGTCCAGGCAGGAGAAATGGAAGTAGCAAAGATACAAAGCGAAAATTCCCAGGTAGGCTCAGTGAAGAGAAGCCAGCATTGTGCCGGAGTCATTATTGATGTTTTTATTGGTGTAGCTACTAGGGCTACAAGAGAGATGCTACTAAGAGGGAGAAGGAAGCCTGGTGTGTCTGCTGGAAGCCTGTTACCTTGCTCACCCTTGTCTGCAGACATTTTCCAGGAGCAGCCTGGAAAGCCAGGAGCACAGTATAGAGGTAAAACTCTTTTAGTCTTAGGAACATGGCAAATGTTCTCTAGAGTAGTTTATTTTATGGTGTTTCCGATGGGCAGGACTTGGTAGCTCGTGGAAATGAATTGCATTTTAAATTCCAATGTAATAATTTTATGTGTGTTATTTTGCAAATAGGTATTAGAAGATAACCCAAGTCATTCAGACTGGGATAGTGAGCCTGACCTGCTGAGTGACTTTAGCTGCCCTTCTTTTGTTGAAAGTGGACCAGACTCTCAGCTCGATGGTCACACTCAGAAGCCTTTCCCCATCAGCAAAGCGTCGCAATCAGGTAAAAATGAGAATCAGACTATCTAGAATTTTAAAGCTGGTAATGCCCCTTAAAAATAGTTTAGTCCAATCTTTTCATATTCTAGGGAAAGAAACTTGGCCTGGCAAAAAGAATGATTTGCTAAATCATTTGACTGAAAGATAGGTAAATTAAATGAAATCTTAGTGCAATTTTTAAAAAGGTACATTGTTTCCACATGAGTATTTTTGTGTAATTTTTAAAGGAACTTAAATAATACGTGGATCCAGAGAGAAGAAAGCTTGCGCAACAAAGATCGTATATGTGTGAGCTCAGAATTTTCAAAGAAAAGTTGCAATAGAAAGATGACAGATCTTAGTCATATGGTGAGATAGGTGAGCGTCAAAGATGATATGTCCAATTTTTAAGCATAGACTAAAGCAAAACTTACCATATTGTATGTATGTGTGTGAATTTTACTTTCTGATTTAACTCCATAATCTAAAATAGATAAGGAGTATATTTAAGGTAACAGATACAGACCTTCTCAAGGCATTTATTCATGATTTTCATTGTTTCCACGCTACTTTTTTTTTTTTTTTTTTTAACATGATGGAAAACAGACCTCAGAGAACAGACCAGGCTCTTACTATAGATTACTAGAATCTTGATGCATGCTGACGGGGTTCTTTGGGAAATAGCTTCCAAACTGTCTGGTGTTAGGGATTGTGGAAATCTGGGTTGTGTGGTTATGTAACATTTTCAGCAAAACATTTTTTGTATGATTGCTGCTTCGCAGGCCTCTTGCCCTCCAAAGAGTAAAAATTCCTTTTATCAGTATATCCGCATTACTTGTTGGACTGCACAGTGACACAGATATCAGATAAGTTACTTTCTGTGTCCAAAGAAGTATGGACGTAGGATCGCAGAATGATTGGGTGAATGTTCAGCTTCTGGCCCCGCGCTCTCAGGCCAGCCCCAGCTCACGCTGTCCCCGACAACTAGGACTCTCAAATCATCCGAGCCTTTTAGAGCGTCATGATTGTTTACCTGTGTTAAGTTTTCGTTTGTGTGTTTGTTTTTTAGTAAATGAGGATCCTTAGAGCTTTATTTTATTTTGTACATTTAGAGTAACTACGAATGTAACCCTTACTTCAAAAATCTAAAATACAAAATAGTCAAAGGAAAAATCACCGGTTATTGTGTCATCCAAAAATAACCACGTTGCCATGGTAGATCATTACAGAAAGTTTTTTATTCACATATATAGAGAGAAAAAAGGAGTTTTATTATTTGGTTTTTTTTTTTTTTAAAGATTTTATTTATTTATTTGACAGACAGAGATCACAAGTAGGCAGAGAGGCAGGCAGAGAGAGAGGAAGGGAAGCAGGCTCCCTGATGAGCAGAGAGCCCGATGTGGGACTCGATCCCAGGACCCTGAGATCATGACCTGAGCCGAAGGCAGCGGCTTAACCCACTGAGCCACCCAGGCGCCCTTATTATTTGTTTTTATAAAAATGTGTGCTATTTCTTCATTCTTAACATTTTTTAATCAAAATCCTCCATGCGTGTAATTAAAAAATGTTTATAAAGCTTGTTACGATAAGATTATAGTCCCTTGTTCACCTAAATGTGCCATTCCTAAGAGGCATTCATTTTCAGCTCTTCTGCAGCTTCCATAGCTCTGTAGCACATGCTTATGGTACTACATCTTGATTTCTGCTTTTGGACATTAGCTATTAAATTCCCATGATGAAAAGATGAAGTCTTGGCTCTTTCACACAATCCTCACTGCCTGCCCCTCTCCTGCCAGCACACAATTGTGCATTTTTTTTCTCTTCTTTTTTCTTAAGATTTTTTTTTTTTTTTTGACAGAGAGAGATCACAAGTAGGCAGAGAAAAAGGCAGAGAGAGAGGGGGAAGCAGGCTCCCTGCTGAGCAGAGAGCCTGATATGGGGCTTGAATCCAGGACCCTGAGATCATGACCTGAGCTGAAGGCAGAGGCTTTAACCCACTGAGCCACCCAGGCGCCCTTATGATTTCATTTTCTGTATATATTTTTGTTTTCCCAGAGTCGATAATTATCTTGTTACTTGTTTAGTTTTCTATTTATTTTATTACCAATCTATAATTTATTACTCGTGTGTCTCCATATTTCCTCCCAGTTCTGAAAATCTCCCAAATTCTGAGATATTCTACCAGTTTCATATTCTGGAAGAAGTCTTTGTGGAACTTCTGACCTACTCTAATCTACAATGATATATCACTAGACCTATGACCCGGCTATCTTTGGGATCTCTTTACCAACATCCTGAAGATTCTCTTACCGCTCTTTTGTTAAATTCCTTATTTCCTTGACTGTGTTTCATCTTTTCCTGGTTTACTCCCTTGTGTTTGTGGTACATCTTTTCTTATTTTACTGAGGATATTAATATGATATTGATAATATTTCCCCTTGACTTGAATCTTTTGTTCTCTGCTTTTTGTATTAGAGGGTTTCTTCAAATGTTTATGAGCCTAATATGGCTAGTCTTCTTAAGAATGGAGACTAAAAACTGAGTGGAAGCCTTATACCCACAGTGAGTTTTGTCAGTTGTGCTGTGCATTGATCTAGCTGGACTATTTTCTTAGCAAGCCTCCAGCATTATCATCTTTAAATCTTTTCCCCCTGAGCTGGTAGGATTTTCAAGAGAAATCTCTTTGAGTCATCTGTTTGGAGGGTGTAATGCTGGCTGTTCTAGGAACCAGGTGGGTAGAAGGCCTGCGGGGGGGTGGGGGAGTGTGGGGCTTGGGGGCTGTCTCGGTACTCAGTATGTACACTTTCATTTAATCTTCCTGTTTTTAATAATGTACCCTATTCTCAACTGTATGTATGATTGACATGCCCTATTCCAGAGACCTTTTGTTTTACCTTCTCTATAGGAGAAATTCCCAATTTTCTTCCCAGATTGGCAGGGAGGGGGGCGGTAGCGGGGGAGGCAAGCATTTGTTGCACGGAGTTGGGGCAGGAGTCTGAGCCTCTGACTGCTTCCCAGTCAACTCTTGGGCAATCTTTCTGGTGTTAGACCTACTTTCACCCAATTTCCAGGGTTTAACCAATTCTGGACCTTTCTTCTTTCTTTAGACGTCCCCAGGGGAAAGTTACATTGGCTTATGGTTTTCCCTTCTGCTGGCTTTGAATCCAGCTTTCTCGACACTGCTAAAGCAATAATTACCTGTACATATGCTTTCCAGCTTTTTATTGCTGTTGTCTTCCTTCTCCATGTTATTTATTCTTGAGTTTATGTCTATTTTTTAAAAATTCCTGTATAATTGTAGTGAGACAGAGCAGAAGCTACTATGTGTTTTCAATCTGCCATCTTCACTGGAAGCTGCCATACATTGGAAAGCCTCTTTCTCTCATTTTATGTGTGTGTGTATATATATTTATATGTATATGTGTATATACACACACATATATATGGAAGCCTTTATATATATAGATTTTTCTGATATAATACCTTGTTGAAATCTGCGTCTTTGTAAATTCTTTAAAAACAGTCCTCAAACTTAACATTCCTCAGAATCTCCTGGAGGCCTTGTTAGAACACAGATTGGTAGGCTCAATAATTTGTAGCTCTGATAAGTTTTCAGGTGATGCTAATGCACCTGGTCTAGGGACTGTACTTTGAGAACCACCGACTTAAGCACTGAGTGAATTGGTATGTAGTTTTCCATTGTGTAGAGTTACTTATTTAAATTTCTACTCCTGTCGGTTTGGTCGTTTTAAATTTGTTTCATATTATAAACGGTACTGCCGCAACATGCCTTGACCTTGAATCTTTGCATGCTTTATTTATTTATTTATTTTAAAGATTTTATTTTATTTGTTTGTCAGAGAGGGAGAGAGAGAAACCAAAAGCAGGGAGAGAGGTAGAGGGAGAAGTAGACTCCTCGCTGAGCAGGGAGCCCAATGCAGGACTCAATCCCAGGACCCCAGGATCATGACCTGAACCCAAGGCAGATGCTTAACCTACTGAGCCACCCAAGCTCCCTCTTTGCACGTTTTAAAAATCTTTTCACTCTGGTGAAAATCTTGAACCGCTGGCCTCTTTGTCACCAAATATTTATTGGATTCCTCCTTCGTGCTAGAGCCTGCTTGGAGCCCTGGGGACACAGCAATGAGCAAGTTGTCTGCCTTCAGGGTGCTTAGATTGTTGTAGGAGGAGCTGGACAGTAAGTACACACATTTATTTAAAAGTTCAGTTATTGATAAATGCTATGAAGAAAGGATTTATAGGACTTGGAAAGGGGGATTTTGAGAAATAGTTTAGAGAGATTTGTCCAAGAAATCGTGGAGTCGCTTGGGGTCATTCTTAGTCCTGCTCTCTACTTATCCTGCTTCTGGCTTTAAATACCAGCTACACACTGATGACTCAGAAATTTCTGTCTCTAGATTCTCTTGTGACCTACAGATATTTTTTTTTTGAACTACAGATTTTTATATTCAATTATCTACTTACATATCCATTTGTACAGTTAATAGAATCTTACACTTAACACATGCAATTCTAAAACCTTGATTTCTTTCATCAAACCTGCTCATTTGCCATCTCCCTTGTCTCAGTAAATGGCATTTTCATTCTGCTGGTTGCTAAGGCCCAAACTGTCAGGATCACACTTGTCTTCTTTTTCTCTCATACTTCGCGTTCAGTCCACTGGCAAATTCTGCTGACCCTGGCTTCAAAATATGTCCAGATTCCAACCACTTCTCACCACCTGCACTGCCACCACTCCAGTCCAAGTGCTTGTCTTCACTGTCCTAGATGATAGTGTCCTGTGTCCACTCTTGCCCTCCTATAGCTCCATTCTTCCTACAGCAACCAGAGAGAGCTTTTTAAAAATACAAATGAAATCAGGTTGTTCCTCTGTTTAAAACTCTCCAGAAACTTCTTACAGTATCTAGAATAAAATCCAAAGTACAGAACATGACCTACAAAGTCCTGTGTAATATGGTTTCTTTCTCGCTTTTACTTATTTTTATTTATTTTTGAGAGAGAGAGGGACAGAGGGAGAGAGAGAATCTTAAGCAGACTCCATACCCAGCGCAGAGCCCCACATGGGGCTTGATCTCACAACCCTGAGATCATGACCTGAGCTGAAATCAGGAGTCAGATGCTTAACCAACTCAGCCACCCAGGCACCCTCTTACTCTCTTTCTTACATCATTTTCTACCACTTTCTCTTTACCCCTGATGCTCTCACCACACTGGCTTTCTTGCTGTTCTTCCCCCCCCCCGCCGAAGATTTTAGTTATTCAGAGAGTGTGTGAGTGGGGGCAGGGACAGAAGGAGAGGGAGAGAGAATGTCAAGCAGACTCCACGCTGAGCTCGCAGCCTAATGCAGGCTGGATCCCTTGACCCTGAGACCATGACCTGAGCTGAAACCCAAGAGATGCTCAGATGCTCCACTGACTGAGCCACCCAGGCGCTGCCCACCCCCCTCCCCCGATCCCCGCTCTCACTGTTCCTTTAAGTTCACTCCTGCTGATGGACTCGGTGTTCTTCCTGAGACTCTCAGGAGTTATTCTGAGTTCAGTCAGGTCTCCGCTTAGATGCTGTCTTCCCCAAGAGGCTTCACTGAGCTCCCATATAAAGTCGCACCTGTCTCTTCTCTTCCCATCACTTTGTGTGCCCCTACATGGGTATTTTTCTGTGTGGCCCTTACCACTGTCTGTCAGTTGTGATTTTTTTTTTCTATTTAGTGACCGTCTCCCATTACTAGAATGTAAGTTGGAAGGGATGTGAGACACTTCCCTGTCATTTCCCCAGACCTAGAATGGTGGCACAACAATGAGATGAGTGAGTGTTGAGTGAATGAACGAGGGCAAGTTATGTCCTATGGTTAGGGTGCTTGGAGGATGGGAGTGGGAGGAGGTGCTGCCCTAGTCAGTGTTTCGGAGAGCCTCTCCCACCTTCAGAGGGACATGTGGGGTAGGGCCTGCATCAAAGCAGTTACATACTTTTGTTTTGCTTTGTAATTGTTTATTCTTGTATTTATTTGAAAAATTGTTCCTATTCACTCTAAAAAATTCAAGCAGGTCACATCCCTCTTTAGAATCTCTGGCCACTCCTCTCCTGTAAAGAACCAGGGATTACCTTTTTTGTTGATTTCCTCTAAGCCATCATTGCTGTTTGTTGCCAAATTGTTCTTTTAAAGATTGTATCAATTATAACTTGATTTTAAGATATTGAAAATGCTTCCTTGGATTCTTTTTGTCGTTTTCCTTCTTTTGTTGTCCAAACAGTTACTTACACTTAAAAAAAAAAAATCTCTCTTTATCCGCTAAGAAACAGCATCCATCTGTTCTGGCTCTCTCGATGGAGTCGAATATTCTCTACGAAAGGAGAAGGGAATCGTGAAGATGACAGTGCCAAGGACACTTGCTTTTTGCTATCTGTCTTTACTGTGGCAGAGAGAGACAATTACTCTTTCGGATCTTTTGAGGTAAGCTCGACCTCTTGTATAATGATGTCTTTGCTGATTATCTGTGTGAACCAGGGGACAACCTTTGGATATCTTGAATTTTACAAGGCGTAAATTGAGGGAGAGACAGCAAAGATTGGGTAGCCTGAGTTCTAGTTCTGAAATGTAATCTTCTGGCCGGTAACTCATCTCCTTGGTTTCCTTATTCATGTAGTGAAATAATGGTATTTACCTTACACAGGATGTTGGAAGATTAATTATCTCCTGTGAGATAATTATTGTGAGTCTAAAGACAAAAAGTGACACTTACGTAGCTTAGTGGTAGTATTAAGTATTTTGCATTTCTAAGAGAAGATGAACAGATGAGCTTCCTGTTGGCAAATGGTCATTAGTAGCTCCACAGCATCTTGCGCTGGTGTCGGTAAGAGCTACAGTGTAAGTTCTCTGTGTTTATAAGATAAACTGAGAACAAAAGTATTAGAAACCTGTTAGTGAATGGTCAGTATTTACTTTTTTTCAAGATAATTTACAGTGTTTTATAGTTAATTAGTTAATTAAGGCATCATGTATAAGACTTTCTCATTAAATAGAAGATATGCTGAAATCATTAGTGGGTTCATATTTACCTTGCTTTATATGTATTCTAAACAATAACATTTGTGTTTACTCAGTGCATACAGTGATTTTTACAAGCACAGATTTGGAACCAGACTCCTGGGTTTGAATCCCAGCTGTGCCACTTACATGTGACCTTGAGTAAATTATTTAATTTCTCTCTGCCTCTGTTTCATCCTTGGTGAAATGGGGCTGATAATAACATCTACCTCACAGAGTTGTAACTACTTCCAGTAATTATTGCTGCACAAAAAGCACTCAGGACAGTGCCTAGCACATAATAAGAAATCAGTGCTAGCTATTATTTTGTTTTCTTCCTCATCATCATCATCAGTACTAGGCTCTTTGATTAAATAAAATAACCTCCAGTAAATGATGATAGTGCCTTTGAATTTGGCCACATCAACCAACAAACAAGGCTTTTCTCAGAGGTGATTAATTCTGCATGCAGATAGTCCATGATTCAGTGAATTTTACTGTTAAGTTAAAAACCTCACCTTGCTCTATATGCCTTCATCGGGTGACCTCATCTTCTTCCAAGGCTTTAATTACCATCTATATGATGATGACAACGCCCAGATTTATATCTACAGCCCAGACTTGTCTAGTGAGGGTCAGACCCACATATTCATACCCATATATTCACAGTCAGTGCCTGTTGGACACTACTTAGGTGTCTTCATGGTATCTCAAAATCAGAATGATGAAAAGAAGTTCATCTTTCATCTTTCTCCTCAGTCCAGCTCATTCTCCAATGTTCTTTTTTTTCTTTTTCCTTGTAAATATCCCACACTCCATTTCTTCCTATCCAGAAACTTAAGATTCATCCTTCACTCTTTCCTCTCCCCAGAGCTGCAGTCAGTCATTACATCCTGGCAATTATCCTTCCCAAACAACCCTTGAAACCATTTTTTCTCCCCATTCCCTCCATATCTTCACCTGGATTACTTAGCAACCTCCCAAGGGGGCCCTGTGTCCCACCGTCTTGTGCCTCACCTGTGCCTCTTCCTTTCCATAGCCCAGGGGTCTTACAGAAACAACAATCAAATCATGTCACTTGAACTGGGTAGAGGGGCAGTCCAGCTACTCAGGGCAATCTCTAAGGGAGTAACGGGGCTCCTAGACACCTAGCAAGATGGACAAAACTATATCCACCCATAATTCTGCTTAGGGAGAATATTAGCTGTGGTCGGAAGGTTAGAGGTAATAAGATCCTACACATTTGTCTCTCTCCCTCTCTCTTACTGTTCCCCCTCCTCCTTCTTTCCTCCCCTGCCTTTAAGGAGAATTCTGAAGTGCCTTCAGAGAGATTGGATCTAATTAGCTGGAGGGCTTTTATTTTGCTCTGTGGGACATACACATTTGGGAACTGAGCCTAAGTGCTTGGAGCAACAGGAAAGGGACCGTTCCCACCGCTCCTCTTTCTCTGTGTTTCTCAGAGAAGGAGCTCTAAGTCACAGCTTCTCAAAGTGTGGCTCCCCGACCACCTGCAGCAGCATCCCCTAGGCATTACAAGTATGTAAATTCTAACCAGATTCTAACCCATTCTAATCCAAATCAGAAACTCTGGGGGAAGGGCCTGGTAACTCTGTTTTAATAAGCCATCCAGGGGATTCTTACAGATGCTGACATTTGAGAACTACCGCCAAACGGAGAAAAAGTATTTAAAAAACAGTGATGGGAAGGAAATACATCATTAGTCTAGCCCCAGTACCCCTATACCTTATACTCATCCTGAATGTCATTCCCCAGTTTAAATCCTTTAGCAGCATCCATAGTCCTTAGTAGAAATTCACAATTCTTGGGGCGCCTGGGTGGCTCAGTGGGTTAAACCTCTGCCTTCAGCTCGGGTCATGATCTCAGGGTCTTAGGATCGAGCCCCACATCGGGCTCTCTGCTCAGCGCTGAGCCTGCTTCCCCCTCTCTCTGCCTGCCTCTCTGCCTACTTGTGATCTCTCTCTCTTTCTGTCAAATGAATAAAAATAAAATCTTTATAAAAAAAAATTCACAATTCTTAAAGTAGCCTTTAACTGACCCTGTCTACGGTGCCTGGGTGGCTCAGTTGCTTGAGCATCCAGCTCTTGATTTTGGCTCATGTCATGATCTGAGTCATGGGATCGAGCCCTATGTCAGGTCTGTGCTTAGTGGGGAGTCTGCTTGGGATTCTCTCTCTCCCTCTGCCCTTCCTCCTGTTCAATCACTGTTTATCTCTCTCTCCCTCAAATATATTTTTTAAAGATTTTATTTATTTGAGAGAGAGAGCACAATCAGTGGAGAGGCAGAGGAAAAGGGAGAAGCAGACTCCCTGCTGAGCAGAGAGCCCCATGCAGGGCTTGGTGCCGGGACCCGGGATCATGACCAGAGCTAAAGGCAGACGCTTCACCGACTGAGCCACCCAGGCAGGCATCCCCTCAGATAAATAAATCTTTAAAAGAATAAAAATAAAGAACCTTGCCTACCTAGTGATAATAATAATAAATAAAAATAGTCAAAGCGTACTCGTTCCACAAATATTTACTGAGTACCGACTAGATGCAGGCATTGTTCTAGAGTCTAGACCCTCGAATCACAGTGGTGTACCGTAGAGAACAGGTTCCTGCTCTCGTGAAGTTCAAGACTAAAGGAGGAGATAGACAAGCATATAAATAAATAATGATGAAACAGTGGAGTGCTATGCAGAAGACTGAAATCAGATGGTGGCTGCTGCTTTAGACTGGTCATGAGGGAAGGGCTCACTGAGAAGCACTATGAGTGGAAGTAGCAGGTGGATATCCGCAGTGCTAGCCCCAAGTAGAGGGAGGTTGCTAGTGGCAAGCCCTCAAGCAAGAGCAAGGTCTGTGGAATCAAGGAGCAGAGGAGGCTCGTGCGACAGGAGTAAGAATTTGAAGGGGCAGTCCGAGGGGCAGTGGGAGGATGAGGACAGAGGGATAATAAGCGAGGACCAGGGACAGGTCTTTGTGAGCCAGACTAGGCATTTGGATTTTTTTTAAATTGAGGTATAATTCATATACAGTAAAATTCACGCTTTTAAATGTGCAATTCAGTGGTTTTCAGGACATTTACAAGGTTGAGCAACCATCACCTCTATTTCCAGAGCATGAGCATCACTTTAGAAGGCAACCCCTTAAGTACTCATTAGGAATTTGGCTTTTGAGTGTGATAATAAGCCCCTGGAAGATTTTAGCAGGGGAGACCTTCTCTGACCATTCAGGCAGCTAGGAGGAAAATGGATTCTAGGGAGGCAGGGCTGAAAGCAGAGAGACCCAGGTGGTCTTTTGCTATACTTCTGGCAAGAGATAGCGGTTTGGAGTAGGATGGTAGCAGTTGAAATGGAACAAGGTGAGGGGGCGCTGGATATGTTTTGCCCATGGACACGACCTAATTCCAGTGCAGAGCTTCTTCATTTATCTGTGATAAAGAATCAATTAGTTAAATTTCCAATCTACCGCAGATTGAAACCTTTGAAAAGTACAACAAATTATAAATAGAGACTGTTTTCAGGTGACAGGGCCAGGAAGGGCATATGGGATGCTTTTAGTCTCTGGCAGTTCCTCTGTCAGCTTCCTGGATTGATTGAGAGACTTATCTGATAATACTTAAGAAAATGAAATTGATTATTCGGAGCTTTGATTCAGTAGCTGTTTTTTGAAAAAGTATATTTTTCTAAAAGGAAATTTTTAAGAAACTGATCGAACTTGAAAAGAAATTGCGAGCAGCACTATTATAAATGGTGAAAATTGTTAAAACCCCAGCTGGCCAAGACTTCTCTGTGTAGCTGTCTCTGCTTCCCCTTGTCAGGTTTGTCATTCCTCCCCCTGCTCCCACAGCACTGTGCGTGTGCCTCTGTGGGGCACTGTGGCACTGTCTTTACTGAGGCATCCACTGAGGCTATCTGCCTGTCCCACTAGGGCCGTGGTGGGGGCTTTTCATGTTTTATTGACTCTCAGCTAACCCTCACACAGGGCTGGCATATGTGTATTATCACATGGGGGCAATGACTATGTAAATTACGAATATATTAACATCATGGAACACTACATAGTTATAAAATAATAAGCACGTAATACATCCTGTATATGAAATAATATTAAACCAAGACTATAGTTCTAAAATAATATGAATACTGATTACTACGCACACATACTTTTAAGTAAATTAAAGAAATGAATGAAAACCTACTTGAGGATGGTTTTCCCTGTAGCACTGTTCTAAAGAAGCCTGCTTTATCGTTAAACTTCATAAAACACCATTTTTACATAATATTTAATTCTCAACTTGCAGAAGATGAAAAAATTAAATTATATTTTTAATTTGAAGTAAAGTTGAATCAATATTGTTCATTCACACACAGAAAGCTAGAAGCTAGATGTCAGTTTAGCTGTAACAACAACAAAGATTTCAGTGTAAAACATTTGTATACTAACTTATTCCTGTCTTTATCTTATTTTTTTTAACTATTCTCATATTTTTAAAATGTAGTAGATGGGGTACCTGGGTGGCTCAGTTGGTTGTGTCTGCCTTCGGTTCAGGTCATGATCCCAGGGTCCTGGGATTGAGCACCATATCGGGCTCTCTGCTCAGTGAGGAGCCTGCTTCTCCCTCTCCCTCTGCTCCTTCCCCCACTTGTGCACTCTCTCTCTCTCTCTGCCAAATAAATCAATAAATAAAATCTTACAAAAAAATGTAATAGATACGTATATATGGCCTAGGTTGCAGTACCCCCATTCCTCATTCTGTGTTCTTCCCTACTTTGTTTTTCTCCTTACCATCTTTACCTACTTAACATACTATAGATTTCATTCATTTGTTTTGTTTGTCATCTCTATTCATGAGAACATAAAACTCCTTGGGAGCAAGATTGTTTTCCTATTTTGTTCATTGCTGTATGCCCACAGCCTCAAATAGTGCTGGGTTTTAGTACTCGATAAATTTCTGTTGACTTAATGCATGAATTGTAAATAAATATGTATGTGTATTTATTTATATATATGTGCTGTTTTTTCCAAACTCAATCATTTACTCAAAATATTTGATCAGCTGCTGTGTACTGGACTTTGGGATGGAGTGGTAAGCAAATGGGCAAGGTCCCTTTCCTGGATTACCTCTAGGGGCAAGCATCTGTTGTGCACTGTCATAGGGACTGAGGATAGGCGGGTAGACAAGGTTGGTTTTCTAACAAGGAAAATGGACCTAGGAAGGTCTCCTTGAGAGAGTGATTTAGAAGACGAGTGGGTGCTCATCACGTGAAGGGTGGTAGGGATAGAAGGAGGCCGTGTCTGCAAGCCTGGTGGTGAATTGACAAGTAAGATATATACTTCATAGGGGCGCCTGGGTGGCTCAGTGGGTTAAAGCCTCTGCCTTCGGCTCAGGTCATGATCCCGAGGTCCTGGGATCGAGCCCCGCATCGGGCTCTCTGCTCGGCGGAGAGCCTGCTTCCACCTCTCTCTCTCTGCCTGCCTCTCTGCCTAGTTGTGATCTCTGTAAGTCAAATAAATAAATAAAATCTTTAAAAAAAAAAAAGACATATACTTCATAGAAATATTTCATCTAGTTAGTCAGAAACTTCAAGATATCATTAGACAGTTGGCTAAATGTTATCTCCACACATGGGTGCAGAGACTAACTAATCTTTTCAGATTTATCCTCCCTAAAAACATGTGGGAGACGCAGCGGGCTCAACTGGTTCTCACCTCATCTGTGAAACGCATCTCAGCTCTTTTGTCCTGCTTTGCTGAATCAGTACGTATCTCTTACTGACACTTTCTTTTTGAAAATACAGATTTGTTGAAGAGGGCCACATTCCTTATATAAATGCTTTTCAGCATTTCCCAGAAGAGATGAAATTATATGGGCGCGACAAAGGAATTTTTGCTATAGAGGCAAGTTATTTTCTTTTTTACTTTGTAGTCACTAATGAGACATAAAAATAGTATGGTGATTTGTATTCTTTTCCTGACTTACTCTTTGGTGTTGGGAGTTTTAAAAAATGGCACCTAGTTTTTGTTCTGCCCATATGTAGAACATTAGTCATAATTTAATGAGGAGCAGGATTGTTATTTTTTAATTTCCACATGTGGTTTCTCCTAATCCTTTAGGTTGTCCTGAACACACAGCTACGGTGTGAGGTGTGTGTACTGTCAATAGCTGTTTGGTTGACACTGAACTTCAGAAGTTTTCTATAGAGACTTTTAGGTAGTTTCACATTTTTAAAAAACGTTTTTTGTTATTTGCATACTATATTGCTTTTGAGAAAAGAGAAGAAAGTTATTCTCTTGTTTCAAAAGGTGCTATTTTAAGTCCTTCGCTTCTTGGTCTTTTTCTAGATCTGTTTTCAGATGTCTCCAACGGAAGGACTTCTGCCCTTTAATTACGAGTCTTTATCACTATGTGTAGTGCTCAAAGATTATCTTCTCTTTGTTCTTCATCAGAAGGTTTTCAGTATACTAAATATTAACATTAAATATTACCCTGTTTGCCCACTTAAGGAATTATTTTTATAGGCCCTCCTAACCTTCACAGCTTTACATTGTTTGTGGTTTAATTCAAGAGACGTTTGTGATTCTTACCAAACCCCTGCTTAAGTGTGGTTCACTGTTATCCCAGTTGTACGTCTGAGTAGACACCTCGGGAAGACAGAATAAATGCCAAAGCCATACTGTTAGTGATCCCAGACTTGGAACTGTAGTACCTGCAGCCTTTTACTCATTATATCGTCTTTGGCTCTGTGTGCCTGCCACTCCGCCTCCTTTTTACACTTGTTCCTCTAAACACTTAAGTAGGTGCTGTGAAAATATAATCACATGAAGTGCTATTTTTGAAGCATTTGAGCCAGAAGTGATGGATGATTGGAAATGCAGATAAACAAGCGCACAACATTCCAGAACATTTTACGTCTGCATTGAATTTAGAGTACTGGCCACTACGAGTGATTCGTAGGTAACGTTAGATTTTTAAACCAGAAACGGCTTTACTTTCTGAACCTCTTGTGCAGGAGCAGTTCGTGGGGATTGAGAGAGAGGAAGCAAGTTTGGGGCTGGGTCCCCAGGGCTGCTTCCGCATTATCACCATTTATTCCACAGCCAGGAGATGGCGGGACAGCTCCTCGCGTGCATGTGGTGGCGCCTGTCCACGGCAGCCCAGGGAGGCAGGTATGGCTGCCGAAGAAATAGTAACAGCGGTGATGCTTATTCTGTACTAGGCCCTCTTTTACATATTTTATAAACTCTTTTATTATTTATATCAACCCTATGAAGTGTGTATTATTATTATTCTTTAAGATTTTATTTATTTGAGAGAGACAGATAGTTACAGCAATAGCAAGAGAGCACAAGCAGGGGGAGAGGTATGGGAGGTGGAGAAGCAGACTTCCTGCTGAGCAGAGAGCTTGACATGGGGCTGGATCCCAGGACCCTGAGATTATGACCTGAGCCGAAGGCAAACGCCTAACCGACTGAGCCACCCAGGTGCCCCCATATTATTATTATTACTATTATTATTATTATTATGCTTGTTCTACAGATGAGGAAACTGAGACGCAGAGAGATTAGGTAACTTGCCTGGTCCCCTCACTCTGAGCATAGTCCAGCATGGCCAAGGCAGCCTTAGTTTGGAGGGAGACAAAAAAAAGTGGGACCATACCGAGCGTTGAGGGTAGGGTGAGGGGTGGGGCAGGGAGGGCAGGGAGGGCAGGGAGAGCAGGGCCAGGAAGTGGAAGTAGGTTATGGAGGTAATAAAGAAGCTCCGGATTGGGGGGTGGGGGTGGGGCGGCACCTGGGTGGCCCGGTCGGCTAAGCTTCTGACTCTCAGTCTTAGCTCTTGATCTCAGGGTTGTGAGTTCGAGCCCCTCACTGGGCTCCGGACTGGTTACCAAAACCAAGAGGTGGGCCTGTGGAAGAGACGGCAGCCAGAACCGAAGGCCGGAGATAGAGGATCCAGCTGGAGGATGGCCTAGGCTGGAAGTGACAGTGTGGGTGCACGTGTCCTGGTGTGAAGCACAGGCTATGTAGCTGGAATGGCCTTCCTGAACGATGGGTCTTCATAATAATTTTCTTAGCTGGGGCAGAATTGTGATCATTTCTTTTTAATTTTAATTTTTAAAAATTTTAGGGGCACCTGGATGGCTTGGTCATTAAGTGTCCGCCTTCAGCTCAGGTCACGGTCCCAGGGTCCTGGGATCAAGCCCCGAGTCGGGCTCCCTGCTCGGCGAGGAGCCTGCTTCTCCCTCTCCTGCTCCCCCTGCTTGTGTTGCCTCTCACTGTGTCTCTTTCTGTCAAATAAATAAAATCTTCAAAAAAAAAGAATCTCCCAACCCCACTGCAGTTGATGTACGACGTTCCGTCAGTTGCAGGCGCACAGCAGAGGGGTTTAGCTCGGCTGCGTTTCGCTGCACTCAGCACAGGCGTAGCTTCCATCTGTCGCCGTACAACACTACTACAGTGTCACCGACTGTAGTTCGTGTGTTGTACTTCTCGCTCTGGTGACATCCTCATTCCGTAACTGGAGGGTTGCGATAATTTATTTGAAGGACCAGGGACACAGAGGACACGCTGTGTTTCCAGTCAGCACTCCAGTCCCCAGCTAATTTTTTCGGAGATGTGGCAGGATAACTGAACAACAGTCACCTCCGGAAGGCGCTTACCAGGCACACGGTGCCCCTGCCGCCTCCGGAGCCCTGCCTGCCTCTAGGAAAAGAAAAGCACAGGTTTTAGAGGTTGATTAGTTTTTCATCTTTTTAAATAGCATGACGTGTTCAGTGAGACACGTCTGGATTTCCTGGGCATGCCTTGGGCAGTACTGATGCTACCCCAAGACTGTCACATAGAAGGTAGTTTTTGGTTTTTGGTTTTTTTGGTAATTGATTTGAAAATCTGTATAATTCACTAACTAATAATTTCAGTTTTAGCTGCTAAAAAATTGTTCATGGGCTAGATATTTAGTTCAGGAGTTCTTGGTGCGTGTCTTTACACTTCAGTGTTTCTGGAGGGACCAGTGGAACTCAGTTACCATTTTTGCATTAATCTCTCCAGTGGAGTCTTGGCTAACAAAAATTTCTCTCCTTCTTCTCTTCCCCTCACTTATTCTCCCCTGCCCTTCTTTCCCTCCCTTCCTGTCCCACCCTTCCTTCTCTTCTCCCTTAGCCTCCAGTCCAGTCTGTATCTTACATTCTAATGACTAGGCTTTAGCCTGATTTCTCAGAACCATTTACCACTCAAGTTACATTGATCATTTTTGCTAGGTTTAGGTAATTCTTACTTTTTGGTGCCTAAAATTACTTACTTGTTTTTAACTCCCTGGCCAAATGATAAGCTTTTCAGGAATAAACACCCAGAAACTTTTATATGGAATCATGAAATATTAAAGCTGGAGGGAAATTTAAACATCACTTAGTCCACGTTTCTTCATTTTCTAGTAAGGGAACAGGTCTAAGGAAGAACGTGATTTGGGAATAGGTAAACCTCTACTTACTTCGGTAGTTTTTGTGAGGATTATTTGAGGTAATATCTTCAAAATGTTGGTATCATAGACATTGAAATGGGCATTCTTTCCAGGCCCCAGGGTGCAAAAGCTTTTCCTCTAAGGAAAAAATTAAGAGTTATCCTCAAGCTGCTCAGAGGAAAAAAATGTATCATTTTTGGAAATTAAAATTTTCATTTTAAAGTTCTGTTATAAACAAAACAAAAAAACCTTTGAATGTGCCCATTGCTGCAAGTTTGCTTCAAGGAGGTGCCAGGAAGTTCATGGATATGACTCTCGCTTTTCATTACAGTGTTTTATAATTTTAGTTACCATAAATTCAGCTTCTTGCAAAGGATCTTGCTTCCTCTGCTAACTTTATATTCTTGGGAGTCGTAGCTAACCAGTAATTTCCTTTTAAATTAAGAAATTTGGTTTCACTTTATACTCAAATAGACACTCAAATCTCACTCTATAAAAATAGTTATTTTAAAAAATATATACCTTGTCCTTTTAGATAGTAGTAGATCCCATGATTGCCAAATGTTGAAATGACTGCAGGAGCGACGTATAATGCGCAGAACCACGGGGCTGCTGTGGGGCTCGCCAGTGTGGCTTACGTTTCCCAGAAGCGTAGCTGAAGCCTTTAGCTGAGGTTGGCTTTGCCCTCCTGTGGGCGGCGTGGGAGGGAGTGGCTGCCTTTATAGCCATGTTTATTTCTGGTGCTGTTTCAGTCTTGCAGCCTGAAATACTATCTTCTCACTATGGTATCAAATCTAGACTCTTCTCTGCCCCTTCTAAATTTTTGTAATTTGAGACTTAAATTTTATAAATTAAGAAACAAGATTAGTTATTTTATATTTACTTGCGTGTTTCATTTTTGCTCTGAAATCATTCAGATATTAATTTTTACTCATCCTATCAGTTACCAAGACAGGTGGATTTTAACCGCTTCTTCTTTCACGTTCTGTCAGTTTTTGCTTCAGGTATTTTGGAGCTCAGGTGCATAATAATTAGGATATTTTGTCTTCTTGATGAATTGACTCTTCTCACTATGTAATGTCCTTTTCTTCCCCCCCAGAATATTTGTTTTCATATCTACCTTGTCCAATGTTAATTTAAAAAGAATGTTTGTCTAACATACCTTTTGGAACTATTTTGTTTTTAACCTATCTGTGTCTTTATATTTAAAATGGCTTCCTGGTAGTCAGTTTGTAGTTATCTTGATTTTTTTAATTTATGCAGTCTGATATTCTCTGCCTTAGAATTATATGTCTGACCATCGACATTGAATGTGATTATAGATATGATTGTCCTGCTCTTATTTGTTCCATCTAGTATTTATTCTTTCTTCTTTTCCCACCTTCTTCTGAATCGACTTTTTTTTAATGGTTCTATTTTATCTCCATTGTTGATATATTAACTA